GCAGCATAATGACTGAGATCAAATGCATTTTTCTGACTTTTCTGTGGAGTCTTGTATTATGAACAAACAGTGCTCATGAAAAAATAGTATGAAGAAGATAGATTTAGAGATGTGTGTAATTTATTTTGTCATGAACTGTTTGGTCTGTCAGTATCACTGGAAAAAACTGCAGAGACTTACTTCACCTCAGTAATTTAATTCACTGAAATTAACTGAATCTGCAGCATCATCTCACTGTTTCAAAATTATCATGTGACCGAGTCTTTCTTACAGAAAAAAGTAGTCAGCACAACAAAAACAAGAGATGGAGATTATTTGTAATGTGTATTAAATAAAATAAAATAAAGTGTTTGTCACAGTTAAGTTTAACTAAAGCAGCAGAAATTTTAAATTTTCTTTTTTTCACGTTTTAAAACAAAAATCCGAGTCCCATCTAGCCGGTCTCCCCAACCTGCAGGGTTGATGGCAGATGATAGAACTACTCACTGTCCTTCTGCCTTCACATCAGTGAATTTTAAAGGTTCTTCTGCGAGTACCTGCAAAACTCCTTGATGGAGTTTGATCCTGAGCAGCTAAACTTTAAACTGTCTTTTAATAGATGTTGTATATTTTTAGTGACATCTTCTGGTTGAAAGTTTGCTACAACACCCAGCAGTTTAGCTCACATACAAACCTCAAGCACTCTTAAACTTGAGTAATAAAATGAAAGAATAAATATATGAATTTTGTATTTTAGCAATAAGTAAATGTTATTTTTTTGCACATTCAGTCACCTAAATCATCTCTTTCCTCCCAATTCTGATTCTCAGTTTGAACTTTAGCAGGTTGTGATGGCCATGTCTATGTGCCTAAATGCATTGATTTGCTGCCATATGATTGGCTGATAAGATATTTGCATTCATGAGCAGTTGAATAGGTGTACTTATCAGAGTGGCTGGTGATTGAATATTATACGTGATTTTGGTGTGCAGTTGTGAATCGATTTACTAAAAAACTACAAAAAGCATGACATGATTCTCTTGCACTGTTGCTCATGCTGGTTTATGAAAAATGATATTTATTGATTAACATAATGTGATCTGCACTTGTGATTTGAATGCACTGAAAAGGTTTATCTACAAAGTAACCTATGCTGGATCAGTAATCACAGGCACTCGGGAGTCCTACCTTTTTTTTGTATAAATGAAATCAATGTTTTTAGTGTTTAGCGTGTGCGCATGTGTGAGGGGAGGACAGTTGCACTTGAATCCTGGATTGTGAGAGCAGCTAAAATAAAGAAAGACGCAGTAAAAGGTTTGGTAGCATTTCAGAGAATGACTCTTCCTGTGAAAAGTTGATGATTGACAAGTCATTCTTTTCTTCTTACCACACCTAGCTATTTCAAACACTTCCCTGAGTCATAGTTTGAAGACACTTGACAGCGTCACAAGCAAACAAACAAGCTCGATGAGTTTTGTTATGAGCCAGTAACATGTTGGTTCTTTTTTCAAACACTGATGAAGTAACAGGGAGGCAACTAGAACTGAACGAGCTAATGACTGGGATCAAGTCCATCGTGTTTTTGACCATCCTGAACTGTCGGTGGATAAAAGGAGTTGAGTGAGGTGTTATCTTATGCGTACATATGCATAATACCTTATTCTAACCATTATAACTAACCATTATCATGGTAGTTATTATGAATGGATCTAAACATACCAGGAAACAATATGGCAGGCTAAAGAGAAACAGTTCATTCTGAGGGCGTGGAGGCAGAAATCTAGAACGCCAAAACTACATGTTCTAAGAGAAACTTCTTTTTTCTTCTGTTATGAAGTTTGATTCAGCAGCAGGAATATGGAACTGAGCAGGATAATCGGGATCAAGTGTGTTGTTCTGGCTTTTCTGTGGACTATAGCGAACGGAGGTGAGTGAAGCTGTTGTGACCTTCATTAAAACAGGTGTGTTTAGGTTCATGATGGTTTTTATACAAAGAAAAAACAAACATACCAAAAATTTGACGAGCATTTAGAATTACAATAAGAAATGTATAAATATGTTGTTTGTGCTTCTTGGAAAGTTTAAATAGATTGTATGTCTAAAAGAGGGTTTTTTTTTTGCTTATCCAGTATTTTTGTCTAGAAATCCAGTCTTCTGTTATGTTCCATTCCATAAACTTTGATGGCAGAAATTTCAGAGATATTTGTACAGTGACCCGGATCAACAAGATAAGAAAAGGGTACATCAGGTGCTTATGTTGAAACGACATTAAAGAGTTAAGTCTGAGATGGTCTGGGAACATGTAGAGGAGGGATAGTGAGTATATTGGACAAGCGATGTTGAATATTTCTTGTGGATTTCTTGTGCATCATTTTAGACACATGTAACTAAATTTTAAGCACTAAAGATAATATTTTTTGAATGGTGGTTTGCTACAAAGAGTGAGTTCCTGTTCATTCACTGTGTTAGTGTAAAGTTTAACGATGGCATCACATGAAAAATATGGATGCCAGCATGCATTCCAGCTGTCACATACTTTTGTTTTCTGTGTGGGGAAATGTGGAGTATGTAATGTTGCTACCAGAATGACACATCTTTCAGCTATATCAGACACCAACAGCATTGTGTTTACATTCATTGGGGCGACCGTGGCTCAGGGGGTTGAGAAGCGTATCTGTAAACGAAAGGTTGCTGGTTCAATCCCCGGGCTCTCTGTCCTGGTCGTTGTGTCCTTGGGCAAGACACTTCACCTACCGCCTACTGGTGTTGGCCAGAGGGGCCGATGGCACAATATGGCAGCCTGGCTTCTGTCAGTCTGCCCCAGGGCAGCTGTGGCTACAACTGTAGCTGCCTCCACCAGTGTGTGAATGTGAGAGTGAATGAATAGTGGAATTGTAAAGTGCTTTGGGTGCCTTGAAAAGCGCTATATAAATCCAATCCATTATTATTATTCAAGCAACCAGCTTGGTTTTGTATTTCCACAGTGTTGGACATTTAATTCAGATACACGGTTTTTACTGGTGGAAAAAATTAAATAGCATCAGCCTCCTAAGTCCCAAACTCTTTCATGGCATGCATTTTTAATTTCTCTGATGAATGTAAAAACAAATAATTACGTGATTTTTTTCTTTTACCTGATTTTTGTTTCTGAGAAAAATGAGATCCACATATGAGGACATTAACTTTAAATGTTAATAGAGCAGAGGCAGTATAATGTCCTCGTAAGTAGATATCAGGCCTCTGTAGAGTAAAATTTAGTATTTTGGTCTAGACAACCCAAAATGTGATGTCCACAAATGTGGACGCAAGGAGGTCCTATGAGGTTAAAAACGAACTGTTTTTAAGTGAATTGCTGTCAAGATCTTCCTGAATGATTCATGCAGAAACAGTGAAGGACAAAGTTTGATCATGTTAAGTAACTGTAGCAATATAAATTTCATCAATAAAAATTTCAGTTTGTTTAAAGAGTCCCCCATCCGTGAGTTGTATAAATAAGAAATGATCAAATCAGGAATTGACATCTTTCGACTTGGCATAGGCTGATTTCCATGTCGTTGTATTCCTGTCTGCTCAGAGTTGTTTGGTGGTGGCAGAAGGATTACATTATTTCTGGGGGACTACTAGATTTGACTTTTCATTCTATACATGCATTTTTTTAATTTCACATATACACTTACTTACTTAACAGCCCCAATTTGCACCCAGAGGCATCTAAAAATGATTTGAGTTGAAAATACTACTGTCTTGATCATGTTGTTGCAGATACTGAAGTGTCCTGCATTTTCATGGAGACGTGCATGCTGCCGTGCAGCTCTGAGAGAGGCAATGATGTTATCATCCACTGGTTCCAGCAATCAGCAGGAAACCTTTTTGTTCATTCGTTCTATGATGGCCATGACCAGCTTGTAGTGCAGAACCAGCGCTTCAGCGGCAGGACGTCACTGTTCCGCGACCAGCTCTCCTCAGGAAACGCCTCACTGCAGCTGACAAGGGTGAAGGTTCAGGATGAAGGGAGATACAAGTGCCAGGCCATCACCAGGAGAGGAACCAAAGAATCATTTATCGCTTTAAAAATGGATGGTATGAGACACACAATGCATTTACTCAAGAAAGTAATAGTTTCAGTTGGTATAACCATAGTTTTTAAGTCTTTATCCTTTTTTCCAAGTGTATGTCAAAAAGGTTTCTACTTGTATTCAGATGTTTTGCAGAAGTAATTCTAGTTTACATATAATTAAAAAAAAAACATGTATTGGGTGCATGTAGACACTGAGTGTGAATAGAATTTAAGGTTGTAGAGTTATTTATTCAAGTTGGTAAAATCTAGATGTATCTGCAGGTAAAAGACGTGCACAGAAGTGCAGTCCAAAACTTTAAAAGAAAAAAGGAAAGCACTAGAATAAATCATTCTTTGGTGAAACAGTTGCTTTAATGAACAAAAAGATCATAGGATGAAAATGATGAAAATACATCATTTAGCTTATAAAAATCAAGCACTAGTAACACTTTAATATATTTCTTTTTTCAGCTTTTTCACTCTCCTTACTTGAAAAATGCTATAAAAGAACCCATAAAAATAAGTTGTCTTCCTGGTCTTCTGTCGTCCTGTTTTTTTTCTGCAGCTCCAGTCTATGAAGTTGACATTCAGCGAGAAGGAAACACACTCACCTGTTGCTCAAATAAAAAACATTTCAAGACAAAATAATTTTTTTAGAGTGAATAATTCATAAAGTATATTTTTTATGACAGCTCCAGTCCGTGAGGTCAACATTGAGAAGGCAGAAAACAGGATCACCTGCAGCTCTGAGGGGATCTACCCCGAACCTCTGCTCACCTGGTCCACCAGCCGTCAAACCGTCTTCAGGAGCACAACCATAGTCCAGCAGAGTGGACCGAACAGAGAACTTTATAACATTAAGAGTTCTGTCATATTCCCTGACACCAAACATGACTTCACTGATATGACCTACAGCTGCACTGTCAGCACTCGCAGCAACAACAAAACAGCCATTTTGTCAAACCGCAACCTGAAAGAAGGTAAGTGTGTTTTAAGATTTGTGGTCAGTCAGTCAGACTCTTACCAACCAAATAAAAAAATGTTCTGCAAAAATCTTCAGAATTTTTTATTAACAAAATACATATAATAGTTATTTATAGTTATTTATATTGATTATTAAATAAGTAAAATCAACACTTTTCATTTGTGTATGTGCGTGTTTGTGTGTGTTTGCTACAGGCATCGCTAAAGCCATGGTGGCAGGCGTCATCATGATTGCGGTAATCTTAGGCCTGATACCGATATGCTGCAATAAATTTAACAGTAAGGTAAAGACAAACAAACAGATATCAGGAAGGGTATCTACTTCTGAAATTTGGGGATCTGTTGTGTTGATGTGTTGAATTAATAATGCAACATTTTAGATGCACCAGAGCTGCTCAGTGCCAATGAGTGTGCTGCCTACAGTGGAAACAGGATCAATGGAGTTGCAGGTACAGACAGGCACAGATGTTGCAATGAGCCCCCGTAATCTGACCAAACTTTACTTAGAAAGTCCAAAATTTAATTCAAGCCATTTTAATTCT